TGTAATAACCCTCACCACTGATTACTGCTAAACTGAGACGGATTATGATAAGTAAATGAATCGACTGAAATACTGAACTGACTGATTGAATATGTTAGTCAAATTGCATGTCTATCTTTTCGAATCGCTAGATTATCTGTTTATGTTTTATGTTTAAACTGCGAATTGAAGGCCTTATCAGCGGCCGAATCTGAAATTGATTGATGTTCTGTACTAATTAGAATTAATGTGATTTTATGGCATAATTATCTGAAATGTGATTTGGTATGATTGAATTAGATTAAAATGAGCTAAATTACACAAGTTAGGTTTATTTACAACCTTGCCATTGAGTGGGCCACTTAGCCAACACATATTGAAGCCTTATTGCATTCAAACAAGGCATATGTTCAGCCATTCTTGAGCCTCAACCGACCAAGAAAGAGAGAGTGAGAGAATTGAGTTGTTCATCTTGAATTTTGCTTGGAAACTTGAAGAAATTGTTAGAGAATTGTCAAATTGAGCTCCTAGACCTTGAATACAAGATTTAAGGTAGAACATCCATCTTCTTGAACTTGTATTTAGGATTGTTCTTGCTTGGTTCTTGGTCTATTGAAGTTTAGAGTCTAGAATTAGCTTTAAATTGTTGAATTGAAGCTCATTCTATGCATGCATGCCTATATTGATGAAATTAAAGTTATTTTCATGGAAGATTGTTACATGCATGTTCAAGTTAATGTTAAGGACCATGAATTCATCATGTTTCGAAAGAATTGGCTTATTGGAGCAAGTATTTGAAGCTTGGAATTTGTTTAAACTCATGTATGTCATGTTTGAATTATGTTCATGAAGTTTGGTTTGAAATTGGATTTAATTGAACTACCTTTGGGCTTTGATTTCTCAAATTGATCTTGGAAACATATTATATTATGAGTTTTGAAATGTTTTCCAGAAAATTAGTCCAAAAGGATCGGATTTGATGCTTTGAAAGTTGAATTTGAGCTTGAGGTTCAAATCTGGGAATTTTAGATTTTGAACTCACGCTCGAGTGGGGTGACTGGCGCTCGAGTGTGAAATTTGTGCTCCCAGCACTTTGCATTATTTTACAGTCCGCTCGAGCGGAGGAATTGACGCTCGAGCGGGACCTTGTGTCTTACACTCGAGCGGGTGTCGAGCGCCCAATCGAGCGTGATTTTCGCACATCCAGCACTTTTGACCGTTTTGCAGTACACTCGAGCGGGTAATTATACGCTCGAGCGGAAACCTTTGTCTGCATGTCCGCTCGAGCGGGACCTCTGTTTTCTGAAAATTCTGAAAATGTTTTCAAAGTGCATCTTTGCATCCTCATTCCATCCTAGGCATTCTTAAGCCTAGTTTAAGGCATCTTAGTGAGGATATAGAGGTAGAACCACACCGAGTCTTAGTAGGGGCTAAGTTTTTGCTTCCCGAATGTGAACTTAGTGTGTGTTCATCCTGTAAACTGTGTAGGGTTGGCATTTGAGGACGCGCTCTAGCTTAACTGTAGCCCAGAACTCTGTGAGTAACAATTGTGTAAAGATATGTTCAAATATGAATATTTCTGACTGTTTAACCGAACTGCTTTCTGAATCGATACTGTTAACTGAATGAATGTATGCCCTCTATTCTGAACTGTATTGTGGCATCTATGACAACTACTGTTTACTATTACTGCTACTGTTACAGAGATCTCTGTCGGTTCCTATCTTGGAACTTCTGTTTACTGTTATGATGGCCATCATTGACTGTTCGGTCTTTCAAGACCTACTGTTTACTGTACTGCTATGCTAATGGGTGTACCACATAGGACTGTTATGACTGAATGATTGAAATATTGAATCAATTGATTGTTTTTAATACTGAAAGGACATTCATCCTTAACCTCTTTACGCATTATGTTATTCATTGGGCTTTAGCTCACTGCTCATATATATATGTAGGTGTTTCGGCACCGGACCGCTGCTAGGGGCGTCAGGCTAGCAATGTTTTGTCAGGCCAACCTTTGTGCCTCACGTTGAGGTTCCAGAACTGTTCAAGCTACGGCTTTGGGGTGTTCTAGTTTTCCCCATCTGTTTTGTAAGCTGTATAGACTGTTACTGTACTGTTTTAATAGGGATTAAGTCCCTGCCCTGAATGAATGTAAATGTTGTACCTACTGTTCTATACTGTTTGTATATGTATGAAAAGTCTTTTTGCATACAGACTGCCACAACTTATTGGACATTGTTTAATTACTGTTTTGGCTTCCGCCAGCCCCTGTACTCTGTATTACTGTATTACTATTAAGCAGGCCTTCGGTAATCTCAGATTATTGGCTGGTTACGGTGCTAAACCCATAGGGGTGGGTTTGGGTCGTGACAATCTAATTAATAGATCACCATCCGTTCCACTGAATTTTCAGATTCCAGAAGAAATATGGTCTGGAACGTAGATTTCTTACTCTCACTTGTGAGTGTTTGGATGCAAAGCATTTGCACATGTATCCAAAGAGCACAGGCAAAAACTAGATGATAAAGCTACTTCATGCATCTTTATTGGCTATGGAGATGAAGAATTTGGATACAGATTATGGGATTAGAAAAATAAGAAGGTCATTTGAAGCCGGGATGTGGTGTTTTAAGAAAGCCATACCTTAGAAGACTTTGGGCCACCAGGCAAACCCAAAGTTGATCATGTTTTAGAAATTATTCCCAATCCTGCACCATCACAGCATGCCACTGATGAAGAAGAGCTACCGTAGCATGCAACCAATGATGTAAAGTTACAGGATGGATTTCCATAAGAAGAAGGTCTAGAAGTAGAGGGTGTTGAGCAGGGGGAACCACAACTCCCTCTGCCAGAGACTGTTGATCCACAATTCGAAGATCAACAAAAGAGCCTAAGCTATCATCCAAATACCGTGCTTCTGAGTATATTTTGCTTACTAATGAGGGGGAGCCAGAAAGTTTTCAAGAAGCTCAGAATCATAAGGAGAAGAGTAGCTAGCAGTAAACTATGCAAGAGGAGATGCAATCCTTGTAGAAGAATCAGACTTATGATTTGGTCAAACTTCCCCAGGGTTGCAAAGCATTGTAGGACAAATGGGTGTTCAAGTTGAAAAAAGATAGCAGTGGGAAGCTAGTCAAGTATAAGGCCCGATTGGTTGTCAAAGGTTTTGGGCAGAAGAAAGGTATTGATTTTGATGAAATCTTCTCGCCAGTTGTGAAAATGTCATCCATTTGAGTAGTTTTGGGACTAGCGGCCAATTTGAATTTGGAACTTGACCAGATAGATGTGAAGACGGCATTTCTCCATGGTGATCTGAAGGAAGAAATTTACATGGAGCAGCCAGAAGGTTTTGAAGTCAAAGAGAAAGAAAACTTAGTCTGCAAATTAAAGAAGAGTCTCTACAGCCTCAAACAAGTGCCGAGACAGTGGTACAAGAAGTTTGACTCATTCGTGGTGGGTCATAAGCACAAAAGAACTGTTGCAGACCAGTGTGTTTATGTCAGGAAATTTCTCAGTGGAAACTTCATCCTACTCATGCTCTATGCTGATCGTTGGATAGGATGCCACAGCAATCAAATCACTGAAGAAGGAGTTATCACAGTCCTTTGACAAGAAGGACCTAGGCCCTACACAGAAAATTTTGGGTATCGAAATTATACGTGATGGGAAAGCCAAGAAGTTATGGCTGTCACAAGAGAAGTACGTTGAACGGGTGATTGAGAAGTTCAACATGAAAGATGCCAAGCCAGTCAGAACTCCGCTGGCTAATCATTTCAAGCTAAGCAAGAGTTCTTGTCCCTCCTCTACAAAAGAAAGAGAAGAGATGGAGGATATTCCCTACTCATTTGCCGTAGGGAGTTTGATGTATGCAATGGTGTCCACCAGACTAGATATTGCTCATGCTGTTGAAGTTGTAAGCAGATTCCTTTCCAATCCAGGGAAAGAACATTGGGAAGTAGTCAAGTGGATTCTCAGGTACCTTAAGGGTACAACAAAAATGTGTTTGTGCTTTAATGATGCTAAACTAGTCTTAGAAGGCTATATGGATTCAGATATGGCGGGAGATCTTGATGGTAGAAAATCTACATCAGGATTTCAGTTCACTTTCGCAGAGGGAGCTGTGTCTTAGCAGTCCAAGCTGCAAAAGTGTATTGCTTTATCCACAACCAAGGCAGAATATATTGCCGCAGAAGATGTTGTGGTTAAAGCAGTTTCTCCAAGAGTTGGGATTAAAGCAAGAAAAGTTCACTGTACATTGTGATAGCTAGAGTGCCATAGACCTGAGCAAGAATTCAATGTACCATTCTCGCACAAAGCACATTGATGTTTGGTATCATTGGATACGCGAAGTGATGGAAAAGAAGTTATTGGAATTGGTCAAGATCCACACAGATAAGAATCCAACTGACATGCTTATAAAGGTGGTCTTGAGAGACAAACTCGAAATTTGCAGAGACATTGCAGGGATGGACTTCAAGTAAGAAGTCAGTCATGCATGTGGGTATGGAGGGATAGAGTTGTTAGCTCCAACCCCATGTATGTAAAGGAGAGAGTCAAGGATGAATGTCGTAAGAAGACCTCCACCACAAGTGAAAGTCTGAGATGGGCATCTGAAAAGCTCTCCCTTCTCCTTACGTTGTTGCCTTTGTTGATTCTCACCGTTAACCATTAAAGAGGATAGAATTTTTGGGTGAGATTTGCCTCTCTCTCTCTCTCTCTCTTTGTGTATAAATAGAGACGAGAGGGAGAGGGTGATTTGTATCAGAAAAAAAAGAGAGTTGTGAGAAGTATATGAGAGCTCTGAGTTGAGTAGAGAGAGTAAGATACTCTTCATCCTCCGTTTTGTATTTTTTGCTCTGTTTTAGTGAAAATTTTCATTTCTACTCCGTGGACGTAGGTATTGGGCCGAACCACGTAAATATTGTGTTCTCTGTGTGTGTGATTTATTTTATGGGTGTGTTTGATCCTAACAACCAGCTCGTTCGTTCGACTTTCAAACAAAAGCTCTTCTCTTTCTAAAACCCGCATGGACGTAAAACTTCTGGAAAGGGTTTTATTGTTACTAGTTTGTTCCAACACCCTTCCTCCTCCATCACCCATATATCAATACTACATTCCAAAATCGCATAAGTTTGACAAAAGAACAAACCAATAGAATCATTGTACAATGAAAGAGACCCCAATTTCTGTTCAGGTTTAGCTGGCACTTTTATCTCTCTAAACTCCTCTAGCCTCATGTCAAATAAAAGGATCTCATATCTACTATCATCACCTACAAAACACAACCAATAATATGCTCCATTTATGCATGTCGCACACAAAGAATTATAGATGAAATGGCCTGTAGGAATTGTAAGAAGATCAAAAATGTCTCCACAAATCTTTACCTAGAGTGTATAGTGCAACAACATAACAAGGATAATCTATGTCATCACCTGATACATCACCAATCCTTTCAACAAAGTTGCGAATCCAAATAATCTTGTAATCCCTAGTCAATGGGTCCAACCCAAATCCAACTACATTTACAACAACATGAAAATTCGGTGGAAAAATTGGCTCAAGTACATGGAAGAGTCTAAACTCTCTCATAGCAGGGTTCCACAGAGCCATACGATTGCCATCACTGTACCCATAAGTGTATACCAAAAATATGTCGTCAATGGGGCCAACAACATGTCGCATAGGATCTGGGATCTGTAGATGATCAAAATTTTCAAGTAAAGGCGGTATGCCAACAAGTGTTTCATTAAGGAAAAAAGCGATAGCATATCTATCAATATCGGAAATATAATAATGAACAAGGAGACGAATTAGAGTGCTTGCTAATGAAATCAAGGCTTTTAATTAGAGTGTACCAGTACTTACAGACACATTTGAATCGCAACAGGGATTTCACGGGTAGCCTTGAGAGTATCTCATTCACAACATCTTCAGGTAAATTTCGATCCCTGTTGCTCAACATTTTACCACCTTTGCTGTCAAGAGCCTTATTTTTCTGATGACACAAAAATAAACAAAACAAACATGTTACTGATTTTAGTGGAGTAAAAAAGGACAAAAGGAAATCTTGTAATGCTCACCAACTGCAACAACCTCAATTGCAAAAAAGATATTGATAATGATTCATTTCCTTAATACACCAAATAATATAAAAAGAAAAATAGGTTGATGTATCGTATGTGATTTTGAGTCAATAAATCAAAAAAAATATAATTTTATAACATCAAACAATCATTTATCACGATGATCACAGTTGTTGTGCGGCAATTTACCTCTCTCAAATAATGTTTCATGAATCAAATCCTTTTTTAAGAAAGGTGACAGTGATAGCAGAACACTTCCTAAAAGAAAGAATAAGGAATGAATTGATAACTTTGAACTAATAGCAAAGATATAACATTGCATTTTAAAAGTCTTAACGTTTGGCAAACTGTTACATTTGGAAAAAGATGAAATATTATTTTTCGTGAATTCAAGAAATTTGTTAATATTTCTGGAACTGTGAAAAAAAAAAAAAGACTCATTTGGTTAGTTTTTAGATTCCCTCTTCCCCCAAATAAAAAAAAAGAAAAAAGGACTCATCCGGTTAGTTTTTAGATCCCCCCCCCTCCCCAAAAAAAATAAAAATAAAACAAGTTCACCTATAGAAATATATGGAATTTATGAGGAATAGATGGAGAGATTCTAAGACATGGAAATAAATCAAAAAACCAAAAACATATGAACAGATCGGTAAAAACCAGACAATTAACATATAAGAAGCACATAAAAATCAAGTAAAAAATAGAGAACCAACTTCAAATGATGAAAATGTTAACGGGGAGAGAGAGAGAGAGAGAGAGAGATTAGTACAGAGAACACAATACAAGTAAAGCTATTTCACCTCAAATTTCTTTCTCTAGAAAAAATGTGTTATATATAATAATATTGACCCTCAATTAAATGGGGACAAGAACAGGATAATGTCTTCCCCACCCCCTAGTTATCCCAAATCTAATGAATCTGAAGAATTTCTCACAAGTCCTCCAATTAAAATCTTCAATAGCACCAGAATATACTTCCATTTCTTCCGTGGACACAAATTGGCTTTTTATTGTAAAATCAATTAAAATTGCCTAGACTTTTAAAGATTCCCAGGATATTTTCGGACGAAGTGTACCATTAGAGACCAATGTACCCTGACATGTCTATTGCTTTGTGAATCAAATAGATAACAGCACTCCTTGAGGACCAACAAGTGATCAGTGGTGCTTATGTTATATAAAAACAAAAACAAACACTTTGCAATAAATCCAATTTCACTACAAAAATTCCATAAAATTCAACAGACGCAGAGATACAGAGACACACCATGTGACACACAAACTCTAGCATAATAGAGTTGTAAGTCACCAGAAAATATGAACTATGCATAAGATGGCCTGTTTTAACACATTCCTGGCTTTGACATCACAAGAACTACATAGCTGTTTATAGTACCCCTAGGTGAAAAAAGTATACAAATTTTCATTTTTTAATAACATAATTTTTTATTAAAAACAATCCAAATAGTGAATCAACCATTTGTACATGATGCAGCTCTGCTATCTTAACATAATCTTGGGGAGTGGGCTTATAGTCCAGCCTTTCAAGCCCTACTAAGTAAGAGGGAATCATGCAATGCAAACGACACTACACCCCTAACCCCTGTTCAAGAACTCAAACCTGCAAGGCTGCAAGTGGTCAACAAAATCCAAAAACCTGTCCAACAGACAATTACCCAGTTACTCTTCGGGGAATCCAAAAGAGAGTAGGAACAATCAAATTTGAAGGACTACAACATTGTCTACAACTTTTTCAATATCTATTGGCTGAGTATATCACCTAAAGCACACATTTAATTCTTCTATAGCATTAGAAGATTGGTCATGATTTCAAAGATCTTTTAGAGGAAAGGGACTCCTTCAAAGTCAGATGTCCAGAAGGGACATACGGGGCTTTTAGAATTTGTAGCTCCAGATGAGAAAAAATAGAAACTTAAGCATTCTTATGGACGGGATCGTTCAACAAATTCAGAAGCAATCTCTCTAGCATACCTACATTTCCCCATCAACGGCCTTACACTACGTTTGGATACATATGAGGAGTGAATGGAAGTATAGACTATGAGGTAAGGGAAGTAAGGGAATGAAGGGGAGGTACCCTCTTCTCATTTGGGAAAGGAGGGTGACATCTCCTTTCTCTTGTTTGGGTAGACAATAATTGGAAGAGAGGAGAGATGCATATACCAAATAGGTAACATCTACACTATGATTGGATGGAAGGCATAGAAAGTGTAGGTCGACGGGGAAGGAAAGCGGTACTCTTCCTATTGTTTGAATAATAACTGAAAGGTGAGGAAACAATATTGTTTGGGAGAGAAGGGGAAGTGAAGGGAAATGAGGAATATTTGTTTTTACGTATTAAAAAAGGATATAATTGGGATTGGTAATCACTAACTCCCATCCTTTTCTCCCAACTTCGGAGACGAACAAAATGTGAAATAAAAGGGATCCTGACCATCCTTTTTAACTCCTTCCTCTCCTACTTTTTAAATAACCAAACAACGGGAAGTAATGCACTTCCCTTCAGATCCCCTCCATCCGAACATATCAATAATGTTTCACATTTCATGTCATTTGAAAGTGGTTTCTCGGATAATAGCTCAGTATTATTCCGATTTTTTTCCATGTTTACCAAGTACATTTTGCTATTTCCTTATAAATTGCCTTTATTGTGATAGAAAATAATTTCTTCCCAAGTTTCAAAACAATTCTATATGATTCTAGGCAACACAAACATTATCTTGCAACAACATTCCAAATAATTTACACAATCCCATACAACACAATCAAAGCACCAAACTTTATATGCAACAACTAGTTCAATAAAGGAGTCAATATTGCATACCATGTTTCTAAGCAACAAAACCCGAGTAGGCGGTCCATTAAAATTCACACTCTTCAACTTCTTCTCCGGCTTATTTTCACTCGCATTGACAATAACCCCAGCTCTCTTATCTGTCTTCCTCGCCATCAACGGAGTCGTAATCCCCTGTTCCTGCTTCCCAAGCCCTTGCCCTTCCTTCCACCCCATTTTTGCCATCATTCTTTGCGCCGCACTCATTTGCCCACCTGAACCAATCCCTAACCCACCCGTCTCCGATTTCCCAATACTAAACCCGTCCCCACTCGACGGCGGCGAAGGTGATCGCGGCATAGCTCCGCTCATCGCCGCCCTCCTCTTCCACGCTTCCTCACCGGAAATATTCAACCTCGAAGAATCCCCAAAATCCTTGAGGACCAACAAGTGATCAGTGGTGCTTATGTTATATAAAAACAAAAACAAACACTTTGCAATAAATCCAATTTCACTACAAAAATTCCATAAAATTCAACAGACGCAGAGATACAGAGACACACCATGTGACACACAAACTCTAGCATAATAGAGTTGTAAGTCACCAGAAAATATGAACTATGCATAAGATGGCCTGTTTTAACACATTCCTGGCTTTGACATCACAAGAACTACATAGCTGTTTATAGTACCCCTAGGTGAAAAAAGTATACAAATTTTCATTTTTTAATAACATAATTTTTTATTAAAAACAATCCAAATAGTGAATCAACCATTTGTACATGATGCAGCTCTGCTATCTTAACATAATCTTGGGGAGTGGGCTTATAGTCCAGCCTTTCAAGCCCTACTAAGTAAGAGGGAATCATGCAATGCAAACGACACTACACCCCTAACCCCTGTTCAAGAACTCAAACCTGCAAGGCTGCAAGTGGTCAACAAAATCCAAAAACCTGTCCAACAGACAATTACCCAGTTACTCTTCGGGGAATCCAAAAGAGAGTAGGAACAATCAAATTTGAAGGACTACAACATTGTCTAAAGTTGTTTCCAATAATTGTAACAATGTCCTCAATGCAACTATTGTTTGCTAATGTTACAAGCATGATTTTGAGCAAACTCTCCATCCATATTCAAGAACTAAAAGGTTACTCAAAGTTTGAATCCTACTTACACCTGTCAGATCCTCACATTTGTCAATGGAAATCCAAATACCACTTACATCGGAAACTTACTACTGCAATTTAGAAACCAGGGATTTCCCCTGGCATCGGAGCCAACTCGTTCTTATTGAACTTGTCTTCATCATAGAAAGTAGCTTTAACCACCCTACCCCCAAAGAAACGTCCTTCAAGATCGATAAGTGCTTTGGTTGTCTCTTCTGATCTCTCAAACTGCACGAAGATTCTAACTGCCTCCTCAGAGGGGAAATTCGGCTCTGTTATCTCAAATATGAGGACCCGAGTTACTGTCCCAAACTTGGTGCATTCTGTTCCAACCTCCTCCTCTAGCTCATCATCTACCTCACCAGGGCCAACCTTCAACAAGAAAACACAATTCAGTCCCTTTCTATACAAGTCACAGACAAAGTGTTACGATAAAGGAGAAGAAAAACCAACAACAAATACAGAAACAAAGCCTATCAGAATTCGTCTTCAAAAAACTTCGATATGGAACTTATTTGTAAAGCTGACAAAGCATTTTTAATGTTTTTAAAAATTGGTAATCAAGATTCACACTCAGTTCGAGCTGAAAGGAGCTCATGCCATGAAAGCAGTGATTCTCACTTGAATAGAACAAGAATTTAGAGAACAGGTTAAGTGAGAAGAGAAAGGAAAGAGAAGCTAAAAATGATATTATACAACCCTAAAAGCCTCAACTTAAAAGGTCTTTGATAAGTTTGTTTCAGACTTCTATAGTTGCAAAAACTATAGAATCACATGAATCATCTGTGAGTTGCAAACTCCAAGACAACCGTGCCATTTATGAGAAGAAGAACATATAAAGAGGGCGCGGTAGGATGGACACTACAGGAGGAGAAAAAGAAGAAGATGAGAAGAGAAGAGAGACTCGAACACTTAGCCAAAAGCCCTGCTCTTCGTTTCTCATACCTCCCCATACAATGGACATCTTGTAGCAAACATAATTAGGACTTAACGGGGAGAGAGAGAGAGAGAGAGA